CAATTCACCTATCTCTGAGCCAAAGTAAAAAGAAAGCTATGATCACCTAAAACAAGGTCCATTGTAGGCTCTTATAAAAAAAAATTATCCCTGAATATAAAAGAAATCATACTCTATACTAAAGTCAAAAGCACTTCTACAATTCAGAATTACACACTATCGATACTTTTTTCTATGCAAGCAATTTTATATAGTTCATCATATTGCTTGTAATCCAATATCCTGTTCTCATATCATAAACACTTTTCCCCATGTGCAAGTTTCATACACACTTTGTATGGTTACTATACTCTACCATGTGGCTGAAACAATTTAACCATCTCCTTAACCATTCCTTGGGGTTGAGGTTATTTCTTACTTTCTGGCTAGTATAAATATGCTTTAATGAGCATTGGCTATCTTCGAATTCTCTGCATATTTCTCTAGGGCCAGAAGTATGACCACAGGCTAAGCACACTGAGCAGATTCATGTAAGAAAGGAAGGGTCATTTTACCAACAGTAATGCAAACCCAAAGTTTAAACCCAAAGTTTTTAAATTGCATCATTTAAATTCAGTGTTCTTGGTGGTTTAAAATCATATTTCCATTTGGTTATATGAAAGATCTCAAAGCATCTTAGCTGTAATTTTAATTTTAGCAGAAACTAGAGAAAATTACTTGAAACCAAACAGATTTGCATCTCCATGAATAACACAGAACACAACTTAAAGTCCAGGATTTTTAATAAATTAAGTAAGTAGGAAAGAAAGCTTCTGTTTAGTTATTAAATAAAAACATAGACATTGTCAAAGATTTATTAACTTCTTTGCAAAGAAAGTTCTCAGCTGATCCCCTTTTATTGGCTCATTTGGCCGTTTAACATCTCAATTATTCACTCAAACCACAGATATCTACCTTTAAAGAGATTACTTGGTATTTTTTAATATCATATCTGTTTCAGTATTTTCCTAATACTTTTACAAATAATTGCTATTTTCCAGCACCCTGACACATATGTTTAGAAGAAATCAGAATGTTTTCACAAGAGGGAAAATAGTAGACAGATTTACATGTATTTAAATACTCTTATTCTAATCTAAATGGGATTAACACAACTTTAGTAGAAAGCAGTTTATTCATTGAATACCTAAGTAAAATGGAGTTACTTCAATATCAACTCCTATACTCTAGGATTGAATCTGTAATTTAAAACTCACTTAACACAAAGTTATGAAACTTATGAAAATATAAAGCTTAATAATAGAGTTGAATCTATAAGGCAGAAGTGCTGAAAGTTTTAAATTCTCACATTTCATTTTCTTTTTTACAATTGCCTGATCTATCATCATAGATTTTTAACTCTCTCCCCAAATCTCCTTTCAGCACTCCCGCCCAAGCTTTTTGGAAGTGAATTCCATCACCTCACACCTCCTTCCCTAGCAGAGCCTCTCTGCAGCTGCTAGCTCCCCTCAACCACACCACATTCTCCAGTCCCAGGCCCTCGTCCCACCACAGGGCCTGGTTCCAAGGTTCCTTCTGGACCAGAGTTACACACACACACACACACACACACACACACAGACACACACACCAGTTAGCACTTTTTGTATCTGATCTCAGCTTGAACATGATCTCCTGAGAGGTTCTTTCCCTGAATGCCTGTCTGGGTCTGATGTACTTCATGTGGTCTCTGGCTGACTGTCACAGTTGTCATTTCACTTCTTTGTAATCATTTGAGTCTCCTCCACAAGGCAGCAACTGGTTTGATTTTGCTCACCTCAGCTTCTCAGGGCTGACACCAGCCCTGGGACCCACGAGCTACTCAAACATTTTTTTAAATTAATGAATGAATTTTGGGAGTTTCTAAATACTTTGCAATCTTTTCTGTGATGCTTTTTGCCCACGGAGATGTGTGAGAGCTTGATCACTTTTTGACAAGAAAACCAGAGGCCACAGGGAAGACTGGGAACAACAGCAGTGACTGTAGACTGGGGTGGTGTGGGGAGGCACCATTGAGCTCCTGAGGGCACTGAGTGTTCTTTGTAAACCTTTGACAAGAAGTGTAAAAATGCCAAAAAGAATGCTAGCATCAGTTGCATTTAAAAACCATGTAAGGAAACTCTTCAAAATGATACCCACCTAAAGCAAGTCTTCCAAAAGGTCCCAGTCTGATCTTCAAGACCTCATATAGTCACAAGAAGTCTGAGGAGGTCTTGAATATACACCCTGCGTTTTAACTAAGCAACCCAAGAAACCACACTTTGAGTGTGGTTTCAGAAACATCAGCAGTGCGGTTTTCTAGGAGTTGTAGACAGGAGATGCTTTGATTCAGTCGGCGCCCGCTCCTCATCTCTTACCGGCTCGGCGCAGACAGAACTGGGCAGTCTAGCCTATGGACACTTGGATGCCTACGTAACAGCCTGTTGCAAACAGATGGCTGCTGTTTGTTATACTGTTTCAGATCTTTGTTATGAATGTCTTAAAACTATGTAAATAGCATTATACCCCAGTATCCTTCTGTACTAGTTTTCCATTTAGTGGTTTGAGATTTGCCTGTGTTAATACGTGTAGGTCTAGATCAATGTAACTAACTGCAATATAATAGTCCTTTGACTATTTATCATTTGTTTCCAAATAATGCTGCAATAAATAACTCTGCAGAGACATCACTTTGCCAACAAAGGTCTGTCTAGTCAAAGCTATGGTTTTTCAGTAGTCATGTATGGATGTGAGAGTTGGGCAATAAAGAAAGCTAAGTGCCGAAGAATTGATGCTTTTGAACTGTGGTGTTGGAGAAGACTCTTGAGAGTCCCTTGGACTATAGAGATCAAACCAGTCAATCCTAAAGGAAATCAGTCCTGAATATTCATTGGAAGGACTGATGTTGAAGCTGAAGCTCCAATACTTTGGCCACCTGATGTGGAGAATTGACTCACGGGAAAAGACCCTGATACTGGGAAAGACTGAAGACAGGATGAAAGAAGATGAGATGGTTGGATGGCATCACCAATTCGATGGACATGAGTTTGAGCAAGCTCTGGGAGTTGGTGATGGATAGCGGAGCCTGGCGTGTTGCAGTCCATGGGGTCGCTGAGTCGGACACGACTGAGTGACTGAACTGAACTGAGTGCTGCAGTACTCTCATGTCTCGTGTGTGTGCTTGTCTTTCCAGTTTACTGATTACTTACTCTATTACTGAGTATATTCTGTACCTCCTAGGTTGGTTGCCTCTGTGTCAGCTGCCTTGTCTAATTCCTGCACTTTGCAATAAAACTCATCCTGGGAAGAATGGGAAACAGAAGTCTCTTTGTGCTCAGAGAACTGGGGGTATCATCACCTTTCTCTACTAGTTCAACTTGAAAAAAAGCAACATGAACAGCAATGAGGCAAGGTTTGATAGCCCTACAGATCTAGGTTTCAAATTCATGTCCTTTGCAATTAGTTGTGGTGGTTTAGTCACTAAGTCCTGTTTGACTCTTGGGACCCCATGTACTGTAGCCCACCAGGCTCCTCTGTCCATAGAATTTTCCAGGCAAGAATACTGGAGTGGGTGAAAGTGAAAGTCACTCAGTCATGTCCGACTCTTTGTGACCGAAGAGTCTTCTCCAACACCACAGTTCAAAAGCATCATTTCTTTGGCACTCAGCTTTCTTTATAGTCCAACTCTCACATCCAGAGATGGCTACCGGAAAAACCATAGCCTTTACTAGACGGACCTTTGTTGGCAAAGTCCCTATATCTGTCTCTAAAAGCACATACTTGTGTGTGTGTGGCTTTTTAAAAATTTCATTCTTTGTTAAGTACACTCATGTTTCAACAGTGAGTCAATCTGATAAGGCAGTGAGCCTCTTCACAGCAGAGGGCCCCCAGGGAATGCTGTGACTGAGTACAGCAGGTGTCAGACAGCAGACGCTACCATCCTCTTCAGGCGGGACAGCACTTGCCCAAGGTTCCCAGCAAGCGATGGAGGATGGCTGTGAAGCCAGGTGTGGGCTCCAGGTGTGCTCCCCAGAGAGTTCCTGTGCTCCTCCATGCCAGGTGTCCACTCTTGACTTCGTAGTCTGTGCACTGAGATGTGCCCGGGAAGATCCCAACTAACAAATGCCGCTGGGGTAAGCGATTTAGGAGAGGAGCTTGAGATTGTGATGAGGAAAGTAGCTACATGGACCGAAGGTTCTGGTTTCCACGTAAAATACACTGTATTAGATTTGATCTTAGGAAGTATAGGATCAGCTCTTAGTCTTTAAAGGGAAGACTGCAAAAATCATTATTTTATCATACTGTTCTTATAACCAGAATAAAATATAATTTTTCGTTAAGTGTGTATTCTTCCTGAACTTAAGTCTTTGGTTCTGTTGAGAGTTTAGCTGTGTCCCTGACAATTCCTGCACTGGAAGTCCTCACCCAAAGACCTCAGAATGTGTCCTTATGGAGATGGGGCTGTTGCAGACGTCATGAGTGGAGATGGTCATGCTGAAGCAGGGCAGCCCTCACCCAGTGGGACATCTGAACAGACACGCACACAGGGAGAACACCGCGTAGGATGAAGGCTGGGACTGTGGTGAAGCATCACCAGCCAAGGGACAGTTAAGACGCCAGAAACCACCAGAGCCAGGAAAGGGGTGGGAATAGACTCCCGTCAGGCCCTGGAGGACCAGCCTGACAGCTGGATCCACCTCTAGCCTCTGGAACCATGAGACCGTGAGCCTCACTCAATGATAAAGAGTCAATTCTTGACTGCCAAAACCATTAATCTATACACTAAGTTTCTTAGTAGATAAACAATTTTGACCATCCCCATCACCGTGTATTTTATTTATTTCAGTTAGATATTTACAGATATTTGCTGATACAAAAATACAATGACCAGGCAGACTGAAAGGCGAGGCAATGCCACCCACACTGCAAAACCCTCCAGCTCCTTGAGCTTTCCCAAACGCTTTCTCAAAGGCTTTAAATAGTTGAAAATACTTCCCCATGACAATGACCCCAGGGCACCATGTGCACCGGGTGGACCGAGCTCAGTATCTGTACTTGGTGGAGTAGTCTTTTGGAGACACGACCAGCCCACGGCCCTTGCGGGCCCCCCGGTACACTGTCTCGATGATGTCGATCATCTCCTGCTTGTCCTCCATGGCCCAGTTGATCTTGTTGTTGTTGCCGGTGCCCAGGTCGATCATGATGTGCTTGTTCCTGTAAGAGGCAAGGGGTCAGTGCTCACAAGAATCCCTCTGAAAAAGAACCGCATGGAAACAAGCCTTACATCCCCACCTCCATTACAGGTTCTTGTCAAACATCAGCACAATCAAGAGGATCCACGATGGTTTAGAAGACTGGAAACCATCTAAATACTGTTAAGAAAGACACTCGTGTTCCTCCTGTGTGCTCTCTAATTCCTTAGGACAAATAAACCTACAGGGCAATCAAGGGTCAAAGGACACAGCCTCAGTTACCTGGAAAGCCAAACAGTTTTCCAGGGGGTTGTAGTAACCTACCTGAAAAAGCAATGTGTGAGTTTCTCATGGTGTTCTTGTGAGCACTTAGTGCAGATGTTACCGAAAGTCCTCCTGACTGTGAAGTGAATGATATTTTGCATTCCTCGATTCTCCATAGATGGATCTTTCAAGAAGCTACTTTTTAAAATGAACTTATATGTGCACTTCATAAAATAAAGATATTAACTCTTGCTGTACCAGCTGCACTAATGGTTACTGATTTAACTTTCTGTTTCTGAGAGGTTATGCGTCTGGCTGCCGGCTGCTGTTTCCTGGCGTGGGCTCCACCTGGGGCTGCAGTGAGATTTCCTTCCAGTCAGGGCAAGCTTCCAGGAGGCAAACTGGACGTCACTCTCCTGCTGCAAAAACTTGCTTCCAGGAGTCACACTGGCCCAGGAATCCGGGCATCTGGGCCTGGCCCTGCCCTCCCTTCCATACCTGCCACTCCCCACCCCACCTGTGTCACCCAAGACCTTGCAGGTCCCCACACATGTGGGCCATTCTGCCCTGTGCCCCTGCTGGGCTCAAGCTGAACTTACTCAGCAGCCTCTACACACTCCCTGCCGCCCGATGACAATCAGTATTTGTGCCTCTGCAAATACCTGCTGCAATACTGTGACTTATAGGAAAAATATATCTGTGGTCACTCAAAAGATATACTCTCCTATGTATTTGGTTTTATCCACAGTTCCTGGCTTAATACTGCCAAAACCTTTGGAACTGTCCACAGTAAGAATGATGGGATATTTGGACTCTGGTCCTCAGTTCCTGAAGACACTTCATGGCCATAAAGCTGAAATGGGTGCCTTGCTATTCCTAGACACCTCTTCTGTTACAAGGGAGTTCATGTTAACGAAGGCCACTTCTAGATCCTACGTCTGCTTGTGGGTGAGAGGAAGCCGCTCCCACCGGCACGCACACACGCTGTCACCTGTCACTTCTTCCTGGTTTCTGGTGCTGTCTGCTCTGCTGTTGCCATCAAAGGATGTTCTGTGACAGCAGGCACCCTGTCTGATCTGATTCATGTCCCAGCATAGACATAAAACTGAGCAGGACTCTATGTGTATACATATTTGGTGAATAAATTAACTAAAATACTGTTTCTACTTGACTTAGAATTCTGAGTTGCAGGAACAGCAGAAGGCTTTGTCTCCTTTTCCGAGTGCAGCATCAGTTCTAAAATATCAAAATACACACCCAGCCCCAGCACCACTCAACCTCTTCCCCCAACAAGGCATCTCCTGCCCCTCAAGGCTTGTAACACGCAGTGGAAGGCAGGATCCAAGACGGGAGGACTTTGGGAGAATTCTGAGGGGTAGACAGAAAAGACCCAGACTGCCTTCAACAGCCTGTCAGTAGGAACAAGGACTGGGAGGAGGCGGGGATGCGTTACAGAGAGTGGAGGATGTCTGCGACACTCCAAAGTGACGGAAATGGATACCAGCTGAGGACACCTAAGTGTCTAGAAGGTGCTGCCGAGTGTCATGCTGCTTACAATAAAAGGAGAAGAGAGACAAACTAGTGTAAGATCTGTTAACCAGAAAAATTTCTCGGCCTCTCCAGATAGTAGAAGGTGCTGAAATCCAGAAACGGCTGCTCAACTCTTGACAAAGAGGCCACACAACCTTCTGCAGAAACCTAGGAAAGACCTAAAGTCAGAGTGTCCAGTCACAGGACAGGCTCTTCGCCGAGGAAACAGCTGTTGGGCAGAGGGCACCCAGAGCCCAGGACAGGAACCCTACTTGCTCAGGCTGAAAGGGAAGAGCATGCAGTGAGAAGAGCTGACAAAACCCCAAAATGCTGTTGGCAGGAAGCAGTTGAAAAATGAACCAGCTGCAAACGCCCTTCATGAAAAGGCAAAAAATAAAAACCTGCATTGGGCCAGGAGGAAGACCCAGTGCTGCATCAGAGCCCCTCCTCCCCAGGCCCCTCCTCCCCATCTTCCCTTTTTGTAAGCCAGAAGACTGTTTCTCATGACTGTTCACACTGCGTCCTGGAGGAGGGGCCACAGATAAGGAACAGCCTCCAAAGCTGGCCAGAGAAGCCTCATCCACACCTGATTCTGCAATGGGAGCTGAGGGTGGGGGCCACGGAGGGGGCAGGACATGAATCTCTGCAACCGGGGGTGGGGGTGGGCCTGGCCTGGCACGCTGCAGTGCACAGAACCCTAAAAGAGCCCCTATCTCCCGCCTGAACCCTCGAAACCGTTCAGCAACGCGACCATGTCCATCATCAGCTACATGATACCGCACAGGGGGGTCTGCAGCGGTCCCCATGGTTACTCATCAGTTGATTTTAAAATAAGGGGATTCTCCTGGATTAAGGGGTTCATCTAATCCAATCACACATGCCCTCTGAAAGCAGAACAGGGTGTTGGAGCAGCTTATGAAAAGAACTCAACTCACTGCTCAGGGTTTCAAAGACAGAGGAGCCTCTAGGAGCAGAGGGGCCCAGCAGAAACAGATCTCAGACCTGTGACCACTGGAAACTGGATCCAACCAGTAGTGCCCCCTGAGCCAAGTGGATTCTTCCCTGACCGACAGCCTAGATGGGAGCCCAGCCTGTGACTCTGGCCTTCGGAGATCCCACATCAGAACCCTGAGCCTGCCTGGACTCTGACCTACAGACCACCAGGTTTGTTACACAGAACAGAGAGTGAGTACACACCCTGCACACCCCACCCAGACGTCCTTACCCACTAGGGAGCTCTGCTTCTAGAGCTGGCCTAGTGTTTATATTGCTACTTATTAACTTCTGCAGTAACATAAGAAATTCTGACAAGTAAAAACAGTGTCATATGGTGATTTCTATCCAAATTAAACCTCCACAACAGAAATTTTTTTTCCACCCATGCTGTTACTTAACTTTATCACAGAAATACCAAAAACTGTGTTTATATCTGAATCAGATTCCTGTGTCTAATCAGTAGCTACTCCACATTCTCCTTTCATGCAAAGTTTGTAAATCATAGGTGCAAATTCATTCAAGGCGATCAGGGAGATTCTATTACTTGAGCCAATGATTGATTGACTAGGGTCCACAAAAGAATTTTTCAGCTGATAAATGATCTTTTTATAAGATTTTGTATTTATAAGCAAACTGATGAAGTACAGGTTTCCCTCTTGGATATCACAAAAGGATGCTAAACAGAGTCAGTAATATATTTAAAAACTGAGTTACTGTAAACACATTTTTCAATTTAAAAAGTGAATTACTGTAAACACATTTTTCATCAACAGATTAAATTTAAAGGTACCTTAAATGTCAATAAGAATGGTTTAATTACACTTCACCTAGGTCCCTGGGCAGTTATTTCAAAAGGGTAATTTGTTACTGAGTAAATGGTAAAACTGGAATTGTTACTTTGAAAATTATTTAAAAGATCACATTGATTGCCTGGTGATACAAACTGTATTATGATATGACTGCATTAGCACTTCCTTCTAAAGATACCTTGATTGCATTAAATGCCCAGACCATCTATTCAATTTAAATAACAACTTTAAGATAAGTGAACATACCTGAAGAAAAACATGACAGTACACGGATCATATAACTCATACATTTTGTTGAAGTCAGGTACTTCTGTAATATCCACAAGATAAATAACTGCAAAATTTTTAACCTAAAAGTAAAGGAGATGGGGGGGAAAAGAACTGAAATAACAAATCAACTTTTTTTTCTATAAAAGCACATTAAAAAACAAAAACAGAAGAATCTGTATATAACAGGACAATTTTCAAACTAGCTCTGCAACAGGTTTTCCCAGGAGAGCTGCCATGTGGGAAATCACTTCACTAGCATCACAGTCCTGAGCAACTGTCCATTAGCATGCTTAACGTTTCCCAGATAGCAAGTTATGAGAGTCCTGCAAGAAAAGTCCACGGACACATCATTCACACTGATCCAGTAAAATGCTACATGAACTTTTACAAACATTTAATTGTATGTAGCAAACAAATGCTTTAAAACATGCCCCTGGAATTCAGCCACACATTCCCCTCTAACTTAGGTCTGGACACCTGCCTAACAACTCAAATCATATTGTAGGTAACAAATGCTCTAATTTCTTCCCTTATTGCAAGTCCATCACAGAACATTTAGAAAACTCAGAAAACCATAAATAAAATTACGTCCAATTCCAACACCCAGAGTTAACTCCTGAGAACATATTTTTACTATATTCTTTCCACTTTTCTGGTCTATATGTTTATGCTGTTCTAATAAAATGTGATCATACAGTGATCATACTACAATATTTTGTATCTCACTTTAATTATGAGTGTCCTCATATAAACTGTATACTGTATATTAGAAAACAATCAAAACAAAACTTTGTGGCTACTTAACAGTTCATCAAATGGCTATGCCATTATTTTACCAATCTTCTGTTATTTTTATTTTTCATGAATATAAATAAAATTTCATTAATATCAATTATTCACATATTAACATTATTACCCTTAAATTTATATACATATTTCATTATTTCTTAAGGATATACACCTAAAATAGAATCTTTAGAACAAAGGACATGACATTTTAAATGCTCCTTATATTTTCTGTCTCAGTGCCTTTTAGAAAGCTTATACCAACTTAAAATACTGTGGGTTGTGGGGAGAGAGGTGGGAGGGGGGTTCAGGATGGGGAACACCTGTGACTCCATGGCTGATTCGTGTCAATGTATGGCAAAAACCACTACAATATTGTAAAGTAATTAGCCTCCAACTAATAAAAATAAATGGAAAAAAAAAATACTGTGGGTTGACTTATGTCCTTTTACCCTAACAAGAAAACAAACTGAAGCCCTGACCCCTCGTTCTCAGAAGGTGGCCTGACCTGGGAACACGGTGCCTGCAGAGCACCTTAGCGAAGGTCAAATGAGGTAATACTGGAGTCTGAACCATGATCCAACCCGGCTGGTTGAAACAAGCCAAAGGAGAACACAAACAAGCTAACTGAACCCAGAGGGCTAGGGAAGGCACCTAGAAGTTGGGGAGCACCCCAGGAGAGGAGACACCAGGATGGGGAGAACAGCAGGGACTTTCCCGAGGGAGCATGTTCTGCTGACATCCCAGTCTCGGACTTCTGACCCCCAAGCTGTGAGACAACACATTTCTTTTGTTTTAATCTGCCCAATTTGTGATGCTTTGTTATGGCAGCCCCAGAAACTTCACAGAAAATGCACATTTCTTCTTCCAAACTAACTCTAAAAATCTGACTGTAATTTACCAGTGAAATAGCATGGGATTTGGTTTAATACTAAAGTGCAAAAACTGAGGGATTAAATGGTACAAGACTGACAGAATACTGGTAATTGCGACAAGTACAGAGTCCACTATGCTCTGCTCTGTACTTCTGGGAATATTAAAAAATATTGACTATGGACATTAAACCACCACCTTCCACAAAAAGGAGGGAAGGAAGTTTACATTCACAAGCATGCCTTTTGCTGACAGACGTCAGTTCCGAGGTAGGGGAAGAAAAGGAGTCTCTCCGAACCTCTCCCACATCCCCTCTTCCTGGTGAACAGAGAGAACACACCTGCAGAAGGCAGAGAGCAAGCCGAGCCCCATGTGGTCCCATGCACACAGAGACGGAGGACTGCTGAAAGCAGCCACTCGCTCCGCTGTACGACTGCCTCCTGGCAAGAGTTACCCTGCTGGTTTATGAGTTCTGGTGGTTGTAGTTTAGTTGCTAAGTCGTGTCTGACCCTTGCAACCCCATGGACCATAGCCTGCCAGGCTCCTCTGTCCATGGGATTCTCTAGGCAAGAATACTGGAGTGGGTCGCCATTTCCTTCTCCAGGGGATCTTCCTGACCCAGGAAATGAACCTAGGTCTCCTGCCTTTCATAAGTCCTGCCTGCATCTAGTTTTACTAAGCAGAGATATTTTATTTTACTTCTCTCACACACACACACACAAAAGATACTACAATGTAAAAGTTAGGTATTAACATCACAGTATAACCCCCCCCCCACACACACACACAGCCTCCTAAAGCATAAAATGACAATTTTCACACTGTGAATGTTGGTTTTTATGTGAGACTTTTAAAAAAGGTCTTATTTTCTTTTGCCTCCAATAATGAGCAAGAAAACTGTAGCTCATTCAGAAGTCAAAAAACAACTGACACTACAGGTCTTCATCATCTCTTCCTTCCACATAAATCCCATCATGATAGACGAGAAGCCTCATAAGGTCAGGAACCACATCTGCTGTCTTCTGGTGGTCCTCGAGACAATCAGGACCTGACACACCCAGGACACCAGTAAATATCACTAGTTGAATGAATGAACTTCAGAAATACACATATATTTCAAAACTCAGAAAATGTTTTATTGTCACTATGGACTTAATTACATAATCCTAGTTCAAACAGACCTGCCTTAAAAGATGGTCTGTTCTTCCTAGAGGAGGTGACCTGACAGGTCCTTTAGCCCTGTAGCACCAGCTGGCCTCTCTCACACAGTGACCATGCAGTTCCACAGTCCTGCACGCCACTCAATGCCACTCACGCATGTCACTAAGACCGAAGGCTGTCAGTGTTGCCTTCCACCTTTTCTATGAAGCTCCTCCATTAGCTAAGAACCCACCTAAAATTCTGGACAAATGTTCTTGACTGTCAATTGGTACTATGTATTTTTGAAGTATCAACTTTTACATTTTTAGATAGTTCCTTTCAAAGCCATCAAAAAACTGCATGATAACTTCCTTTTCTCAAACTATTATTTGCCCTGATTGGTTACTGGTTCCTATGAGATTTCTCAATTGAGCATAAATTTCTGCAGGTTCAACCTACTGTATGACATGTTTAAGAAAGACCCCCGGAAGTCATTCCTCAATAATTCCATGAATACATTTACCTTAAATACAATCTTATTAGAAGGTCTGACTATGAGATAGTATAACTGAGGTTTTGCATATTTTAAATTCTACTTGTGTGAACTCTTTAAACATAGAAAAATTAAACATCCCATTTATTCTTACACATAATGGGACTTGGTCACAGTGCTGCCAAAGTACACTCCTTCAAAATGGCAAGACAAAATAGTCTTACCTTGAAGCTGTGCATAAAATCACCCACTAATCAGAAAACTTTAGTTTTTTTAATATTTAATTTATTTTTGCTCACCAGGTCTTAGTTGTGGCATGTAGGATCTTTAGTTGTGGCACGTGGGAGCTAGTTCCCTGACCAGGGATTGAACCTGGGCCCCCTGCTTTGGGAGCCCGGAGTCGGGGCCACTGGACCATAGGGAAGTCCTGAAAACTTAATTTTGATAATAATTCTACCAAACTCCAGACATCTGTAAAATCTTTCAACAAATCTCTATGTTTTTAGTACAGCTCAAAACTAATCCGGCATGAGGTGGGGCTGGAGCTGCTGAAGCAGTGAGTCAATAAAACACATTCCAGGAAAATAGTATAATCAAGTCCAGCCTCAATGTTGGAATTTTACTCACTTTAAAACAGCTGGGGTATCCAAACAGGGCTCGTAACAAGATGAGGAACATCTCCCATTATCTGCCATTTCTGCAGAGGGAGATAGACAGTTAAATTGTTCTTTATACTAAAACCTTAAATTTCAAAAATTCCTGTTGAACGTCCCCAAAAAGGGCTTCCAGAATTATAAACTCATATTCTGCCCTTATACTAAGCAGAAAATAAAACATTAACAGTTTTGTAATGCATTTCAAGTTTGCATTTTTAATGACTATACTATTACATAATATTGGAAGTTTATTAAAATAGAAATCCAAGTTCTGGATAAAAGAAAAATAACTTAAAAGACCAAAGAAAAATACTCCAAGTGAGCCCAATTAAACTGTTCTTACCAACAGGTTCTATTCCAAAAAGAGCACACCTGCTAGTACTACAGCAATTTGGTCTCTGACTTCTACATAGGGATTAAAAAAGAACAATTCTGGTAAAGGTCCCTAAAAACTTACATTGACACAAAATCTGTCTCCTAGCTAAGAGTATCTTGCTGAGTTTTGCTCAGATATGAACAGCAAACAACCCTCACGCTTCTGCCATCCTAGCCTTGTTCTGAGGGCGACCGGGTCTGGACATCCCCTGGTGCTTACGCGCCACCTGCAAGGCAGAACCCAGAACACACACCTAAGTTATGTCAGCGTCCACACAGCAGTGATTCGATTACTGGAACAGGGTCTTCATCTGTTATCACTGACTTCTGCAGTCTCTGCCCTTGACCACTGCAGCTCAAGTCATGTAGAAATGATTTCTGGGCACCACCTCACTCCTGACCTCTAACCCCACGGGGAGGACCCAACTGGCAGAATCCTGCTCTCCTGAGTTCCCCAGGCATCTCTTCATGCTCCCTCAAAGCCTTGGTGTCCAAGAGGAAGGGGAGGATAAGGTTATCACCACAGACTCCTGCTCTGACTCAGATCTCGTTGAAGGGATTCAGAATTCCTGGGGGAGCTTCTGAACCTCACCTCAGATCTGCAGAATCTGACTCTCTGAGATGCACTTTCGGTGACAGACACAGAAGGATGGTCCCTAATGTTCACAGTGACACCACCCCTACATCACTCTGCCTGTCCTACCAAAGAGGAGACAGTGAAAGTTACTGATGGCAGGTCAGACTACTTTTCCATTCCTAAATACAAACTATATCCTTACATCTGTTACTCTTTACTCAAAGAAGTTATTTTAATCCAGCCCGTATTAGCATATCTTACTCCTGTGAAATAAATGATGGCTTCAATGTTTCCCTTATTTTTATACTCTATTAAAATGAATAACCTTTCAAAATAACATTGAATATTAAAATTTTTTATTAATACCCTAATATTTATGCCTCCTGCCCTATTACTACAATTGCAAAAATCTAAATCAAATTTGGACATGGATTTGGGTGAATTCTGGTAGTTGGTGATGGACAGGGAGGCCTGGCGTGGTATGGTTCATGGGGTCGCAAAGAGTCGGACACGACTGAGCGACTGAACTGAACTGAACTGAAATCAAATTTACCTTAAAATACCCATGAGACAATTACAGAAAGAGACTTAAGCCCTAATTATTCAACAGTGCCCTACAATTGCTCTTTATTGTGAGCAAATGGCCACAGACAACCCCGTGTACTAAATTTAAGGATTAGGAAAACTAGTTCTAACATTACAGTTCTACTTTTTCCCAATGTTTCCTACACTGGAATCACTCTAAACTATAAATCAAGTCACTTACAAAGAGCACCCTGGGGAGAAGAAGGGACTCAAATAAAAAGAAGGGAATTTACTATGTTGTTACCATAGATGTTCTGCTCAATATATACAACAAATAAACACGGTACCAAAAAAATGACAAGTTTTTTAAACTAAGCCATTCAAAGTAAGCTCCTACATTCAGCCAAATTCTGCAAACGTGTTTTGCTCTTGGCACTACAGATGTAAATTTTTGAAAACACCCTATCAATGAAAATCCCTATAAATTAACAAGAATCTTTCACTTCTTCAGGGAGAGACATCATGAATCTCTTAAAAATTTGAAAATCTATGGAAACTTCTGCCAGTAAGGATATAAGCTACTCTGACCAATTTCAGGGAGCCCATTCTCATACCTCAAGGTGAGTCTGTACTTCTGTGAATCCTACTGCTTCTCTTTAACCGGTAAACTGGCTGTACTTTTAATTCTTACCGGCCAAACAACAGCAATCCAACAGGATGCAAACACCAAACCGGACGGCAGGACGCGATGGGATGTGGGGCTGCTTTACCTTTTCAGCAATGCTGTACAGAACCTCATCCATCTTCATGCAAGTAGGGTCCCAGTCGTGCCCAAACCGAATGACGACCACGCGGTCTTCTTCCGAAAGGATGGCCTGATCCACCTGCCAGCCATTGTGCAGGTGCGGGAGCATGTACGACATCTTGGGCCGACGGGTCTGCGGGTGAGTGGGGGAAATCACCGGCCAGCTCCTCCTACCTCCCCCATGGCACACCAACGGGACCCCCCGCCCCACGGAGCCTCACCACAGAGCCCCCCCACGGGGTGTCACCCTGCGGGGCCCCCACCCCACGGGAGCTCAGTCTGAGGGGCCCCCACCCCACAGAGCCTCACCACGGAGCCCGCCCAAGGGGGCTCATCCTGCGGGGCCCCCACCCCACGGAGCCTCACCACGGTGCCCCCGGCCCACGGGGGCTCATCCTGCGGAGCCCCCACCCCACGGAGCCTCACCACGGAGCCCCCGGCCTACGGGGGCTCACCCCGAGGTGCAGTCGATGCGCCGCCGGCAGGGCCAGGCCCGCGTCCACCAAGTTCCGACCCCGATCCCGCCACAGAACGCCTCTGCGCCCCGGCCAAGAGCCCAAGGCCAGGGGACGCCTGGAATCGCACTTCCGCACATCACTCACCGCCCCCTCCCCACCGTCTCCAGCCGCGCACGCACCTCTGCCCACACGGGGCCCTCCCGCTCAGCGGTCCTTCCGGGCGCGGAGCGTTCTCACAGGGTGTGAGCGCCGGCGAGTGAGCCCGCACGCCCACAGAGCGTGAGCGCCGGCGAGTGCGTGCGCGCGCCCGCAGAGCGTGAGCGCCGGCGAGTGCGTGCGCGCGCCCTCAGAGCGCGCGCCGGCGAGCGCGCGCGCGCGCACCCCCCGGGCCGGGCAGGGCCGTGGACTCCACACTGAGGGACTGGGGGCTGAAGGTGGCGGCGGCTGCTTCAGACCTACTGCGTCTCCAGTGAGTCGGCGTCCGAGCTTCCGCGATGCGACCGGGACCCGGGAGTGAACGAAGAGAATAACCTCTCTGAGGACGGGCTCGTCGCCGTTCACTCCCACACAGAGTCCCCCTAATTAATCATTTTGGAGGCCCTGCTTTCCAGACGCAAGCACGGTTGCTTTACTTGTGAAAAGCGGTTCTTTAACAGAAGAGTACTGGTAAGACGCAAATGCACCCAAATAACTTATTGAAATTAGTGTTTCTAAGCATTTTTTGTTGTAAAATTTAAATAATATAAAAGTTACCATTTAAGCTATATAGTTCAGTGGCATTTAGTATGTTCACATCGTTGTGCAACATTAACACTCCAGATACTTATTTTGTTAAAAAGCTTTGTTGGGATATTATTTACATACCATTTGTGGCTCAGCTAGTAAAGAATGCGCCTGCAATGCGGGAGCCCTGGGTTGGGAAAGACCTCCTGGAGAAGGGAAAGGCTACCCAGTCCAGTATGATAGCCCAGAGAATTCCATGGACTATACATGGGTCGCAAAGAGTCGGACACGAATGAGTAACTTTCACTATGTTATACTACTACCATCAAGTGATGCGCGAATTTTAAATAAGATGGTTTTTCACAGAGTTATGGAACTCTGCGACCCAATTACCGGCGGGCATGGCAGTTCACTCCAGTATTCTTGCCTGGAGGATCCCCATGGACAGAGGAGCCTGGTGGCCTGCAGTCTATGGGGTCTCAAAGAGTTGAACATTTCTGAGAGACTAAGAGCACACACAGCAGTTAGTCCCACATCCTTCTCATCCCTTTGGCTTTTGGCAACTTTTAATCTATCCTACTGCTACTGCTAAGTCACTTAAGTGGTGTCTGACTCTGTGCGACCCCATCCCTGGGATTCGCCAGGCAAGAACACTGAAGTGGGTTGCCATTTCCTTCTCCAGTGCGTACAAGTGAAAAGTGAAAGTGAAGTCGCTCAGTCATGTCTGACTCTTCGTGACCCCATGGACTGCAGCCTACCAGCTCCTCCGTCCATGGGATTTTCCAGGCAAGAGTACTGGAGTGGGTGCCATTGCCTTCTCCGAATCTATCCTAGGGCCTTCCCAAAGAGTCAGAGACAACTGAGTGACTTCACTTTCACTTTTCACTTTCATGCATTGGAGAAGGAAATGGCAACTCACTCCAGTATTCTTGCCTGGAGAATCCCAGGGACGGGGAGCCTGGTGGGCTGCCATCTATGGGGTTGCACAGAGTCGGAAACAACTGATGTGAAATTAGCAGCAGCAGCAGTAGCAGGGCCTTCCCAGATGGTTCTAGTGGTAAAGAACCAGCCTACCAATGCAGAAGATTGGGTTCCATCCCTGGGTGGGGAAGATCCCTTGAAGGAGGGCATGGCAACCCACTCCAGTATTCTTGCCTGGAGAATCCCATGGACAGAGGAGCCTGGCTGGCTGCAGGCTGCAGTAGGGTTGCACAGAGTCAGACATGACTGAAGCGACTTAGCATGCATGCAGGCAACCTGTCCTAGATGTTTTGTGTAAATGGAAACATAAATATGTAGTCTTTCATGGTGGCTCAGTTGGTAAAGAATTTGTCTGCCATGCAGGATACAGGGATTCGATCCCTGAGTCAGGAAGATCCCCTGAAGGTAATGACAGCCCACTCCAGTATTGTTGCCTGGAGAATCCCATGGACAGAGGAACCTGGCGGACTACAGTCTGTGGGGTCACAAGAGTCAGGCGTGATTTAGCAACTACGCCACCACCAACTACTAACCTATCCTAGACATTTAGTGTAAATGGAAACATAAATATGTAGTCTTTTGACTTCCTTCTCTTAGCATAATGTTCTCAAGGTTCACCCACATTGTATAAACATAATAGCAGGCATCAGCACAGTTGACCCTTGAACAAACACAGATTTGAACTTACACATGTACTATGTGTACTACATGGTCTGCAGCTGGGTAAATCTGGGGAACTAGGGATATAAGGGACCAACTATAAAGTTATGCAAGGATTTTTCACTTCACAGAGGGTCATCACTGCAGGATCAACTGTACTTAGTTCCTTTTTGTTGGTTATTGTTTAGATACACTGCATTTTATCTATCCATCAATTAATTGCCATTAGAGTTGTTTACACTTTTTGGCTGTTATGAGTAATGCTGCTGTGAACACTTTTGTACAAGTTTTTGTATGGATTTAAGTCTCCATTTTTCTTGGTTATATACAGGTGGAGTAGCTGAATCATATTATAATTACATATAATGTTTTGCGAAATTGCCAACTGTTTTCAGACGCAGCTATACCGTTTTACATTTCCAACAGCAACATGATGGTATTGGATTTCTCCATGTCTTTGTCTACTCTTATTAATTGTTTGTTTTTGTTGCTGTTTTTTTGGAATGATACCCTGCTAGTTGTGATGTTTTATTACATCACAACTTTCCCTAATGGTTAGTGATATAGAGCATCTTTTAATATACTTGTTGGCCATTTGAAGAAATGTCTGTTTATCTCCTTTTGTCACTAAAAATGGATTAATTGTCTTTTTGTTATTGAGTTACAGGAGTTCTTTATACATTCTGGATAGAAATCTCTCATCAGATATATGAAAATATTTTATGGATTAAATTTTCACTTTTTTATTAGTATTGTTTGCAGCATAAAACTTTTAAATTTTGAGGAAATCCAGTGTATCTTTTTTTCACTCTGTTGCTTGTACTTTGAGTGTCATATCTAAGAAACCATTGCCAAACTCAAGACCAGGAATGTTTACTCCTCTTTCTCCAAAAGTTTTACAGTTTTAACTCTTCCTTTCAGGTTTGTGATCATTTTGAATAAGTTTTTGTGTATGGTGTTAGGTAGGAGTCCAAGTCCATTCTTTTGATTTTTTGTTTTGTTTTTGCCATTCCATGTGGCTTGTGGGATCTTAGTTCACCAACCAGGGATTGACAACTCCATTCTTTTGTATGTGGATATCCAGGCATCACAGAACCATCTATTGGAAAGATTTCTCTTTTTCACCATCAAGTTGCCTTGACACTCTTGTTGAAAATCAATTGACTTTAAATATAAGGATTTATTTCTGTAGTCTCAAGTCTGTTCCAATGATGTGTATGTCTAGCCTTATGTCATACCACACTGTCTTGATTAGCATAGCTTTGTGATAAGCTGTGAAATCAGGAAGTGTTAGTCCTTCTGTCTGTTCCTTGTTAAGATTGGCTTGGCCATTCTGGGTCCCTTGCAGTTCCATATAATCTTTAGGATTAGTTTGTCAATTTCTGCAAACACACACAGACACACAGACACACACCCTGGGATTTTGCACGCATGCGCGCGCACACACACACACACACACACACACACCCAGATTTTGATAGGAATTTTGTTGAATGTGTACACCAATTTAGGGAATATTGCCATCTGAACAGTATTAAGTCTTCCAAACCATGAATATGGGATATCTTTCCATTTGTTTAGGCCTTCTTTAATTTCTATGATTTTTATAGTTACCACTATTCATGTCTTGCACTCTTTATTAATTTTGTTCCTAAATGTTTTATTCCTTTTGATGCTATTTAAATGGAATTGTTATTTTAAATATTTTCAGGTTATTCATAATCAATTTATAGAAATAGATTTTCTCATTTGGTTTTATTTGTTATTCCAGTTTTATTGAGCTGTAACTGACATATAGCATTGTATAAGTTTAAAGTGTACAGCATAATGATTTGATTTGTGTACATCATGAAATGATTATCACAGTAAGATAAGTGAGCATCCATTATCTTATATAGATTAAAAAAAAAAGAAAGAAAAAATATTTTCCCCTGATGAGACCTCTTAGTATTTACACTCTTAACAACCTTCATATATAATTTATAGCTGTGTTTATTATATTAATCATGTTGTACATCTGTAGTACTTTTTTACCCTTTTTTTAAAATGTAATTTTATTTATTTATTTGGCTGTGCTGGATCTTTGTTGCTGCATAGGCTTTTCTTTAGTTGTGGCAAGCAGGGGCCACTCTAGTTGTGGTGTGTGGGCTTAGCATTGCAGCAGCTTCTCCTGTTGCAGAGCACAGGCTCTAGAGCGTTTGGGCTTCAGTAGTCACAGCTCCAGGACTCCAGAACATAGCTCAGTAGTTGTGGCACATGGGCTTCGTTGTCCCAGGCATGACTGATCTTCCTGGAC